TTTTTTTTTTTTTTTGAGACAGAGTCTCACTCTGTTACCCAAGCTGGAGTGCAGTGTTGTGATCTCGGCTCACTGCAGCCTCTGCCTCCTGAGTTCAAACAGTTCTCCTGCCTCAGCCTCCCGAGTAGCTGGGACTTCTGGCATGTGCTGCCATGCCCAGCTAATTTTTGTATTCTCAGTAGAGACAGGTTTACCATGTTGGCCAGGATGGTCTTGATCTCCTGACCTCGTGATCCGCCTGCCTTGGCCTCCCAAAGTGCTGGGATTACAGGCGAGAGCCACCACGCTTGGCTGAACATTTTTTATTGACTATATTTTAAGAAAATAATGATACATACATATGTCCTGTTAATAGATTTTGAAAGTTACATTTTATTTGTACAAATTAGATATGATGGCTTATCAATCTTTCACCCTTATGATATAAGGATTTATAGCAAAATTATCTGTAAACAGATTTCTAATAAAATAGCATATCTAAAGTTTCTTCACTCTGTGCTTTGTATCTTATATAATAAATATTATGTATTTATTCAGTCTGTGCTTTGTATATTTTAATTTTAAAAATATTTCATATTCATTTTCAGTCCAAATGCAGTGTTAAGATTAAGATTCAATCATTTTGCTACAGAATGTAGCTGGGATCATATGTATGTTTATGATGGAGATTCAATATATGCACCTTTAATAGCTGTACTTAGGTGAGTAATTATATTTAATCAGTTGCAGAAAAGTGATTGTATAATTCCTTAACTTTAAATATATATTGATATGTACTGCAAAATAAATTTAGTAAAGGTATTGATAGTTACATTTCACAGATGATTATAATACTTTGTTATTTGCTGTAACTGTCAATTTAGGTAATATGTAAATATTGATATAACAGATAAGTACTATATTGGAAATACAGATTTCTTTCTAAATATTTTTTATTCTCATTGTACTTAGTTTATTCTTTTAAAGTGGATTGAATATGTTTTCAGAACTATCTATTTGGATATATTAGAGTGAGTTCTAGCTGACAAATGAATAGACAAGTTTTTTTTTTTTTTAAATAAGTTGTCTTTTTATTTTAGTGAAATGGTAAAATTTTAAATTCTGCATAAAACAGTTAAGTTATGCTTTGTGCAATGGTTAATAAAGATGGAGTTTCTACCAATTCTGAAAATATGAGAAATTTGTATGCTTCAAAATATTTTATTGTTAGTAGTATGGTAGATTATTAATTTTAAAATTATAGCATTGTATCAATTTAAAAATCTTACATATGTTTACATTATTATAAAAAGTTTCATGAATAGGAGAAAATCTATTAGACACAAAAAATTATGAACATGTAGTATAGATTTTGTATACAATTTAACATGATTGTTAAGTTACTCATATTATTTACTTTTGCTATTTATACAATATCTCTTACATGTTCTGTCATTGAAAATTTAAGTATGGATAAAAGCTTATTGGTCCCTTCAAAATTTTTTCTTTCCAATTTTTCTTTTTACTTTTCATGTGGCAAATGTTCTATTTCATTCCATTCTAGTACATTTTATTTTGTTCTGTTTTATCAGGATTGTGAATTATTATTTTGGACAAAAATGTAAGAACTTGTATTTCCTTAGGAGCTTAGGTACTTATTCTGTGATATTGCTATTGCTTAAATTTTTGAGTTGTTTGAACATTAGAAAAGGGATAGCCATAAGCAGTCCTTCATCTAAGGACAATAGAGAGAAAATAGAGTGGAGCCTTGCAAATAATTAGGTTGTAAGACAATTTATTGTAACAATTAAATTTGATCCTGAGTTCATACATTTATTTTTAGCAATTTAAACATCACTTTCCTATCTTAACTCTATTTTTATGATACTGTTGGCTGACCATCATTTAGGTGTGTGCCTGTTCATTTGTTTATCTAGTAATTCTAATTACTTTGTATTAATACTCATCCATTAGCATTCTTACCAACACTTTCTTGTTACTAAAGGAAGATAATTAGCAGGTGGGATTTAGTATATGGCTGTGAAGATGGAATTAGTGATTTCTCATTAGCAAGTGTTCTTGTTAGCCCTCCTAAGGGAAATGGAAAACTCATGTTTATTGATATTGAATATCCACTTGATGTTAAGCACTAGGCTAGGCAGTTTAAATGTCATCTTATCCTCACAAAGATCTTGTTGGGGAAGTACCAAGTACTATTATCCCCATTTTACAGTTGAGAAAATTGACATTCAGAGAAGTTATTTGCTTCTAATAGATGGTAGAGCTAGGATTAGGACTTGAATTTCAATCTCCTGATTTAAAAGCGTATACTGTTTGTACTTCATCTTGCTAAGAATTCAGAATCTAATATGTTTGAATTATTTCCATTGTATAAATATTTATTACTCAACACTTAATTCCAGAGACTGTCACAGGCTTAGAGTACATAGTAAGGAAGAAGGCATAGCTATTGCAGTGACTTTAGATACCAAGTACCTGCAGCTGGGCTAGAACAGATTTCCTAGGTTAAGAGCACAGTCCTCTACAACAAGGGTCTCCTCTCCACCCCAGATCCCCTTACCAGTCCTTGGCCTGTTAGGAACAGGGCTACACAGTAGGAAGTGAGTGGCGGGCAAGTGAGCAAAGCTTCATCTTTATTTACAGCTGCCCTCATTGCTTGCATTACTGCCTGAGCTCCGCCTCCTGTCAGATCAGCAGCGGCATCAGATTCTCATAGGAGTACAGGCCCTGTTGTGAACTGCGCATGTGAGGGATCTAGGTTGCTCATTCCTTGTGAGGATCTAATGCCTGATGATCTGTCACTGTCTCCCATCACCCCCAGATGGGATCATCTAGTTGCAGCAAATCAAGCTCAGGGCTTCCACTGATTCTACATTATGGTGGGTTGTATAATTATTTCATTATATTTTACAATGTAATAATAATAGAAATAAAGTGCATAATAAACGTAATGTGCTTGAATCATCCCAAAATCATCCTCCCCCTGGTCTGTGGAAATTTTGTCTTCCATGAAACTGGTCCCTGGTTCCAAAAAGGTTGGGGACTGCTGCTCTATAACACTGCTGTCATTTCAGACAATAGCTGCAAGCTTGGTGGTCCCCACCTACTCTGACCATCTGGCTACATATTTAGGGGTTCCTACTCTCTCCAAAAATTTTGATAATTCACTAGAATTATCATAGAACTCAGGAAAGTTCTACACTTATGACTATAGTTTTATCATGAAGGATAGAAATCAGAGCCAGCCAAATAAAGAGATGCATAGAGTGAGGTCTGGGAGGATCATAAATGCAAATCTTCTGGGTCCTCAGAATGTGTTAGCCACCCAGCACATCAACATGTATCACCAACAAGGAAGCTCATCTGAGCTTCAGGTGTCCAGAGTTTTATTGAAGTTTCATTATGTACCCATGAGTGATTGAATCATTGGCCATGAGACTGAACTCAAATCTCTAGCCCCTCCCATCCCCTTCTCTCTTGGGAAGTTAGGCTAATACCATATGGCGCCAACACTTCCATCACATGGTTAGTGTTTCTGGAGTGGCCATCCCCTATTCTCAATTATATCTTTAGCTTAAATTAATTAGGGGCCCAACATGAGTCACCTTATTAGCATAAATTTTCAGGGCTCACCGTGAATAGGAAGACACTCTTATCACTCAGGAAATTTCAAGAATTTAGAGGTTATATCCCAAGAACTGGGGACAAAAGCCAGCCAATTCTTTAGTATGCAGTAGTCCTGCATTAGTGGGGGTATGTAAACAGATTTTTCACACAGCCTAGTTAATGTTACAGTCAGGTTATGAAAGAGTACTACATAATTTCAAAATAAATAATCCTTCATGTTGACTTTCATCATAAGTAAAAGAATGAAGTAGGAGGGTCAAGTAGGACATTCTAGAGAGAGAAAAGCATATATACAAAGGTATAGACACATTAAAGAGCATTATATTTTAGTGCAATAGTAAAAAGTTTTGAGTAACTTTATCGTAGGAAATGTGAAGGATACGTAGGAGTCACATCCTCCAAAACAGCAATCAGTGACATTTACTTAGTGCTCCTTTTGTGCCAGACAATGTGCAGGAGTTCTTTATAAGCATTAGTTTATTTAATCCTCAAAGTAACCTTTAGGTAGGTATTAATATTGCAATTTTACAAATGCAGAATTGAGACAGAATTGAGATTTTCTGTGAGTGGCCCAAAGGTTGCCTAGCTAGTAAGTCAGAAAATGAATCTAGGTTATGTAATTGTAGATCCTAATCCCTTAATCACTGTAATACTGCTTTCTTGTACACCACACTAAAGAAGTTGGACTTTTATTCTGTAGGCAAGACTTTTTAGAATGTGGAGAATGGATTGGAATGGAGAAGTGTTATTTTTTTTTACTGTGTGCCGGACAATTGTGTGTTGGATGTTGTGTTTGGAAAATCGTATATAGTAATAATTTGAGACCTAGAAAGATTATATTCTTGCAGAGACTACCTGGGGACACTAGCAATCCATATTCAATTCAATCCAAACTCAGATATTGGGGTGATTCATAGCTCAGCTGCAGTGCAGTCCTTTGGAGGGCCCAACTTTAGGTAGTTTGCTTTTACTTCCAACCATTGAAATCTCAGTTCAACATGAAGGCTCTGGGTTTCACTTGTTGTTTCCCTTACTCTGTGAAATCCTTGAAATCCTTCAGTTTTTTTTTAGCCCCTCAAGTCTTACCTCCAGCCTTGAAATCAGCAAATGCCAATAGGGTAAGTGGCCTCAATGCCTGGGTAGGCCTTCAAGCTGATTTTTTTGTTTTTATATAATTTGTCATTTTACTAGACTTCAGTTGGTCCAAATTTCCTGGTGTATTATACAATAAGTAGAAACTCTCTTTTATTTATTGTTTTTAAAATATTTGTTAAAAAAAAACCCAAACAGATCTATTCTTTTTTGTTTGTTTTTTTTTTTGAGATGGAGTCTTGCTTTTCACCAGGCTGGAGTGCAGTGGTGTGATCTTGGCTCACTGCAACCCCCTCCTCCCGGGTTCAAGCGATTCTCCTGCCCCAGCCTCCTGAGTAGCTGGGACTACAGGCGTGTGCCACTACGCCCACCTGATTTTTTTTGTATTTTTAGTAGAGATGGGGTTTCATTGTGTTGGCCAGGATGGTCTGGATCTCTTGACCTCATGATCCGCCCGCCTCCGCCTCCCAGAGTGCTGGGATTACAAGCGTAAGCCACTGCACCCAGCCCAGACCTATTCTTTTTATCACTTTCAGAGAGCTCTCAGAGACTAGCTGTATCTATTATAAAGATCTATTATTTTTAGTAATACCTTTATATAATTTTATTACAATGAACAATATGTATGTATAACGAAGACTGGTGTCATAGGGTTTGTATTATTTTGAGAGTCTCATTTTAAAATCATTTGTTGCTTCACAAACATAACCTAGTAGATGTAATAATAATTACTAAAGCGTTAAATCAAGAATTGATTACTTTTTAACTTGTCTTTGAGAATGTATTTTCCAAATAAATTATTTGACTATAGTATTTCATTTATGTGTCAAATATGATTTGAATGGGGGAATTCAGTTCTTAGCGGTACCTAGACATAATTTTAACTCTTTCTAAAGGAATTCACTGTGTCGAGTTATGTAATTTGTTTGTTAGCAGTCTCTTTTCTTTCACCTATTGCATGTTTTCATAGATTTAGAGAGGTTAGAACATAAAACTAAATGAAGATAGGTAATTTTTCTCATGAACAAGTAGTCTTAAAACGAAGTACAAGTTACTAGTTTAAAACTATTTTGTACGTTTATATCTCCCCCACCCCAAATTTTTGTTTGTGTGCTTATGGGCTTATGTGAGCAATATTCGTTTTGGAATAGTAATATAATAGTAATACATTAATGCAATTTGCATAGGTATGCAAAATAGAAAAACATAAAAGTATGTATTTTTAAATTTTTAAAAATACTTAATTTTAAATCACCTAGATAAATGTATTGGAAATGTACAGCTATAATTAGAATGTAATTGTAATTGCTTACCTGATGTAGAGTGTCTTCAGCTTCATCAGATTTTTAAACCAATCAGAATAAGTAAAGGTACAGGGTCACTTATTAGAGTAGCAAGGTGACTTTAAGTGAAGTTTTATATGAATTCAGGGAAAGAGTACCCTGTAGTATTATGACAGGATGGATAGCAGGACAAAAAGGAGAAATGAGACATTGCCTTACAAATAATGATAAGAAAAAAAATGGGGTACAGTGGCATGAGAGTAGATTTTATTGTATTGGCAGCAGTAGTAGAACTAATTTAGTGAGAAATGGAGAGGAACTTCTTTCAGATTTATTCTGCTTTTAGTTGCCCATTCTGATGTACAAGCATTTCTGATCCTGGTAAGAATATTTCTGAGTAAATTTTATGTGCTTAACAGTCTTATGTATATCTACACATACAATACTCAGTTTTGTTCTCTTTTAGTGGTTTGATAGTCCCTGAAATAAGGGGCAATGAAACTGTGCCTGAAGTTGTTACTACATCTGGCTATGCACTGTTACATTTTTTTAGCGATGCTGCATATAATCTAACTGGTTTCAACATTTTCTATTCGTAAGTATTTTTTTAAAATTCCATGTTTTAATGATTCTTGTAATTTAATGTAAAAGAGTTTTTTTTTGGTTTATTTTTGTTAATGTCTTATATACCAGAAGCAGACTACTGTGTAAAATTTCAAATTAGTATGTAGGATCCCTTCTTAAGTGACATAAAATCTTAATAGTATGCCACAAAATGTGATCTAAGCCTGTAAGTTTGGTTGAAAATTAATTATGAAATTTACAATTGTTTGTTGGCAAGTGATTAAGTAAACAAATACTAGTGTAACTTTACTGGTAGCAACAGATGTGTGAGACTGCACAGAGTTGTGAACTGCCTTTCAGTGCTTTAAGGCATATCACTTGTAATTTGAAGAGGATTATGGGAGCTAAGTTTTTGTAGTCTCTATTGCAGAGACTGTACTGAATGCTGTGCATACATTATGTCATTTAATTACCTTCAGTTCTGTCAGGTTGGGTATATTTCCCATTTACACATGAGGAAATTGTGGCTTAAGAGATACGTTGCTGTATACCACTATCTCCTCTAAAATAAGAAAAGTAATATTCATTGTGAATCTATTATATGCCTGACACTTTATAAACATTTTTATATCTAGAAGATTGAGGGTAAAGTACTGAGAGATGCTTTCAGATGCTTTCACAGGAATGGCTAGAGAGGAAGTCTATATATTATTTTTTTTCTTCAGAATGTAAAAATTGATAACCAGAGAATTTTTCACCAGAAATATTCTAAGTATCTTTGAATTAACAATTTATTATGGAATTATTTATCCTACAATGTATCCAAGTATGTATGCAAGGGATAACAAATATATAGTAGAATATAATCAGTTAAAGAGTCTTAAAACTAAATATGATAAACATCCCTTTCCTTCCGTGAGAGTGTACAGGTGATAGCATGCTCTTTAAATATTATACAGCCAAGTTATGTCTTGACTTCTCATATAGTTTTGAATATTCATGAATTTAGTTTTTTTTATGTAAAATATACATTCAAAATATTTGAGTACTTAAGTCTTTACAAAACATTTTGCTTGGAACTGTACAGATCCTGCAGATGTTGAGCATGTAGTCATTAGACATTTGGAGTCTTGGTATCAAAGTAAATCTGTTGAATAAACTAAGACCAACTGCAAATAAATACTAACAATTTCATAAGAGTAAGAGGATACAGAGTAAAGAATTACATTGTGAAATTGTGTTACATTTATAAGCACATAGGACACAGTATAAAAATTATAAAGTTTATGATGTATCAACCGAAATTCTTTTTCAGTTTGAATATATATGAATTATATTTTACAGAATCAATTCTTGTCCGAACAATTGCTCTGGTCATGGGAAGTGCACAACTAGTATCTCTGTTCCAAGTCAAGTATATTGTGAATGTGATAAATACTGGAAGGGTGAAGCTTGTGATATTCCTTACTGTAAAGCCAATTGCGGTAGTCCAGATCATGGTTACTGTGACCTAACGGGAGAAAAATTATGTGTCTGCAATGATAGTTGGCAAGGTAAGCACATGTGGTGTGATGGCTTTTGAAACATTGATTCATAGGTGTAATAGATTCATACAAATTCCACATTTATTTGTTTCGTTATAGTTTGCACACCCAAACCTCATGTATTTACTTTTATTTTTAGAATGTTCAGATTAATAATCAACTTCTTAATTTTTTTGTCACAAATAGAATTAATTGGCAGAGATTTTGTCTCCATACTACTTTGAAGACTAAACGAAGTGATATATGAAACTGAATTGTTAGGTGTGTGATCATTATGGTCTTCTGTAATTTGTTGTCGACTCTCCCCAAATTTGGTGACTTCACTGAATTTAATGTGGTGCATTCAAATTTGACTTATAAGGGTAATATAAATAGTATATTACAAAAATAAATGCCCATCTTACAAGGTACTGCAGTATATGAAACTTATTTCTTAGGAAAGGCTGACATCTTGTGGCTATTTTAAAAAGAACTGGAATATTTTAAAAAGTATTTTAGCTGCCTATTGCAAAAGTCAGATTCCTAGGAAAGAATATCTAAGTAACTTTTATAAATATCTATCATCAAAGATTAAGTTTACACTATACTGAAGAATGTTGGCTTACTTGTTTATCTGGATATAAAAAAATAAATATTGTCATTATGAAATTAAGAGAGATACTTAGTTATACATACACCTACTCACCTAGAGTTTACTTTTTGCTAGTTGCATTTACATATGAAGAGCTTCCTTTGTGCCAACATATTAATCCTGTTGAAATAGGGAGATTTGACTCAATAATTACATAACCTGAAGTACTTGATTATGTGTTACTATAATACAGTGTAATAAATAGTAGCAATAGTTCCCAAGTTAAAAACCAAAGACAACATACTCTTCATGTAGTTGTATTCATTATTGCTGAGATGATGTTTTCAAAAAAGTGTTGTTGAGTATGTTCAGTACTTACTTAGAGGAATTATTTTAGGCTTTGTATAAATTATGCCTGTCTTAAGCTCATGTTAGCTCATAAAAAATATTAGGTATGTCAACTGCACAAAAGATCCATGATTTCTTATTAAATCAAATTTGGTTACCAATTACAATTATGACAGATACAAATTTCTAAATGTTCTATAATTACAGGGTCATGTATTTTAAGTGACTCTTTTAATCATTTGTGACTTTTCTTCCCCCCAAAAGTGCCTTGAGTTGTAATTTTATTTTCATTTCTGACGTGAAGCTAAAATAACTGTCTTTTCTATAGAGACAATGGTCTATCCGTATTATATTTAATTTAAGGCCTGATAAATAGAAATATAGCTCATACACACAGTATTTTTCAAACTGGTCTTCAATTGCCATTAGTCTGCACCTCATTTCAGCAGTCTTAAAAGCAAATGAGTGATACATTTGTATAACATTCTCTGAACAGTTCTGTCCCCTTTTCTGTTTTTTATTTACTTTCATTAGTCCTTCTTTGAAATGCTTTATTTTGTGAGTCTTGTAATATAGATCTGATTCAAAGCGTTATGAGTTTTTTCTGGCCTTTGATTTTTGACCTTTTCATATCCTATTATTCTCATCAGTAATGTCCCAAATCATAAGAATTCCTGAATCTAATATGTCTATAAGCAAATGGAAATGGGGAAGCAAATACTGGGTATGTTCACTTTAAAAGCAAAGTTCTAATAGCAATAATCTAAGAAATGCATCTCTATGTATGTGTATGTGTGAGTGTGTATGCATATATACACATTTATTTATAAATACATATACATTTTTTATGGAGAGTAGTGTGAAAGTCCTTTGTAAATTATAAAATGCAGAAATAAGACCAATTTTTATACCATTTTCTTAATAATTAAGGAAATGATTTCTCAATTTATATGTTTGAAGGTAGAGGGCTGGTAAATGAGATAGTATGGTGTTTTCGAAATAAATTATGTGCAGACTGGTTACTTTGTGCCTCAAACCTGATCCTGATTCTGTATTTAAGGAAGCATAGCTCCAAAGTAGGTAGGATTGTGAGCAAAATCATTCAGGGAAAAATGATGTTTTTATTTCAGATATATAGAATGGGAAGGAATCAGTGAGGTGAGAAGAGAGAGATTTGCTTCTAGGACAAATGGGGAATGATCAGAGAATGAGAGACATTTGAAAATGCGCACTGCTGAGGCGATCTTTATAAGGTTCAAAATCTGGTAGTTTTATACAAGGTGTTATTTGGAACTGGATTCTTTAGGTTAGAGTAACAGATTGTTGTTATCTCCATTATATTTTATCCCTTGTTGTTGCTTGACTTATTCTGTTTGCCTCTATGCTAATGTATATTTTTTAAAAATGAGTTACCCTCTAGAAACTTGGGTTTTATTAAGATAACACAGAGGAAAAACCTAGCTTTATATTAAGTCTTGAGTTCCTTCCTAACATTTCTCTTTTCCTTAACCTACCTGATCTCTGTGTGTCATTTTTTTCTTTGGTTTTTCTTTTTCTTTGAGATAGGATCTCACTCTGTGGCTCAGGCTAGAGTGCAGTGGCATGATCACAGCTCTTTGCAGCCTTGACTTTCCATGCTGAAATGATCCTCTCAACTCAGCCTCCTGAGTAGCTGGCACCACAAGTTGCACACCACCATTCCCAGCTAATTAAAATTTTTTTTCGTAGAGATGAGGTCTTTCTGTGTTGCTCAGGCTGGTCTCAAACTCCTGGGCTCCAGTGATCCTCCCACCTTGGCCTTTAGAGTAGCTGGGACTACTCGAGGGCACACAAGTTTGTTATATAGTATTTAATTTTGTCATAATGTATAGTTGTCAAAGATAATGATATATACATATTAAATATATGACTAAAAGTACAGGGACCTGTGTAGACTCATCTGCTTCTATGATAGTAAAATAGAAAAAACAGACTTCATTTTTAAGAGTAGTTTTATGTTCACAGGAAGATTGAGCAGAAGGTGCAGAGAATTCCCATTTACCTCCTGCCCCAATGCATACACAGCTTCTCTCATTATCACTATCTCCCACCAGAGTGTATATTTGTTACAGTTCATGAGCTCACATTGACAAATCATTATTAACCAAAGTCATAGTTTACATTAGGGTTCACTGTCAGTGTTGGACGTTCTGTGGGTTTGGACAAATGTATCATTACATGCATCCACCATTATAGTATCAACAGAATAGTTTTTTTAACCTACAAATCCCCTATGCTCTGCCTATTCATTCTTTCCTCCCCCTACCCCTGCTAACCACTGATCTTTTTACTGTCTCCATAGTATTGCCTTTTCCCAAATATCATATACTTGTAATCATATAGTATGTAGCTTTTTATGATTGGTCTTTTTGACTTGACAGGATACATTTAACTTTCCTCCATGTCTTTTTATGGCTTGATAGCTAATTCCTTTTCAGTCCTGAATAATAATCCATTGTATGGATGTACCAGTTTATCCATTCACCTACTGAAGGACATCTTGGTTGCTTCTGTAAAATTTGTTTAAATTTTAATAAGTCACCTGAGGGAAAAAGGCAACTTTGAAAAGCACTGATCTCTTAAAATGGCTTCCAAACATTGGGATAGATGATCAATTTTTATAAGACATCAAAAGCAACATATAACAAATTGAATTCACGTTCATGTGTAAAGAATACAATAGAACAGTAATTTTCAAAGTAGATTCCAAGGTATGATGTTCCTCCTACCAACTCCCGTCCGAGTAGTTGTGTGTTCCTCTGTTTTATATAACTTTAAAAAAATCTGAGGAGGCTGAGGCAGGAGAATCACTTGAACCCGGGAGGTGGAGGTTGTGATGAACCAAGATTGCGCCATTGCACTCCAGCCTGGGCAACAAGTTCCTCCTCATCTCCATCTGAGACCACCTCAGCCTGGATTTCATTGTCCATATCATTATCAGCATTTTTGTCAAAGTCATTCAACAAGTCTCTAGGGGGTCCACACTTTCCCACATTTTTCTGTCTTCTTCTGAGCCCTTCAAACTGTTCCAACCTCTGCCTGTTTACCCAGTTCCAAAGTCACTTCTACATTTTTGGATATCTTTTCAGCAGCGCCCCACTCTACTAGTACCAATTTACTGTATTAGTCTGTTTTCACACTGCTGATGAAGACATACCAGAGACCAGGCAATTTACAAAACAAAGAGATTTAATGGATTTACAGTTCCACATGGTTGCAGAGGCCTCACAATCATGGCAGAAGGTGGAAGCCATGTCTCACATGGCGGTAGACAAGATAAAAGAGATTGTGGAGGGAAACTCCCTGTTTTAAAACCATCAGATCTTGTGAGACTTACTTGCTATCACGAGAACAGCACAGGAAAGACCTGCCCCCATGTTTCACTTACCTCCTGCCGGGTCCCTTCCATAACACGTGGGAATTCAAGATGAGATTTGGGTGAGGACACAACCAAAGCATATCAGTTACTAAGTTTAGATTGGATAAAATCTGTATGCAAATATTAGATCATTCAGATATTTTCCTGTGGCTGATAAGTGACATAAACTATAATAAGTAGCACTGGCCCATTCATCTCTAGAATGTTCATTAGAGAGAAATAAGCTTTCACCTTATTTCAACACTTAGTTTTGCTTCTCTCAACCTGTTCTCTAAATAATACAAAAGGATATTGAGTAGCTCACAGGAGAAATGAGAAGACTGGATAAACTATTGTTGGAAAGAGGCCAGATACAAAGAAAGGCTAGGCCTACAGTAAAGATGAAGCCAAAGGAAAGTTTGAGTAGGACATTCCTGTCATTGCCACAGGATCCTGGGTTACTACCAGTGGCACCCTTAAAGTAGGTACTGCATGCTACAGGAATGGAGAGAAAGAATTGTAAATTGTCTTTACATCTTTGCATCACTTATTAAGACTGAGTCCTGCTTAATAGTATCTGCTTGGCTAAACCTAGGTCTTGTCCATACCATGGGTACCTAGAGATGTGAAACAGGGAATTTAACTTTTCTGTTATCTGTAGTGAAAGAGGTTCTCTTTCTGAACAAAATTCAC